ATCTAAGTCAGACCTTTATGCAAAATATTTGAATGTAACGTGAGAATTTAGGATACACATAATGTTAAATATGCTTGAACAAAAATGATAACGATTCTTGTATGAAATAGCGTGTATAAGGATCGGATAGCGGGAAGAATGACACAAATGTATGTAAATCGTTTTGTTTCTTATTTCATGTAATGTATCTGATACATTGAAATAACGCAACGTTAAGCGTAACACATACATTAAAAAAAGTATGCCAGTGATGGGATAAAATAACGAGTATTGTGAAACAGAATAATTTTTAATCTAATTTCCTAACGTTTAATCTAGAGAATTAGAATAATTTGATTCACAAATGAATAATTCATTGATTCGTTAAGAGTCTGATTAAAAGTCTGTTTCCAATAATTCCAACAAGAATTTTTTCTATCGTAGCTTCGATACAATTTCGATGATGTAATATTTTCTGCAAATCGAATCGAGGAATTTCTACAGTCAGGAACGACTGAACTCTGACCAGTTATAAATACGTTCGTAACACCCTGATGCAACGTAAGAACCAACTGATTGCTCAACAAGTTAATCGTTCGATTGTTCCTGTGAGAATGGCCTGTATGGCCACTAATCGTTACGAATATAATCGTGACCCGGCCATTTCTCTTCTGGAATATCAAACAACGACGTCGTAGGTCAGGAACGAGTTTCACTCTAGTTATTCGAAACTGGTGCTTTGTAACAAATAACTGACGTCGAAGATGACGAACTAATCGAGTACCATATTTTTCTTTTTCCAAGGAGAGAAAGAACCGTGCGAGAGATTGAACTAACGAGAATTAGAAAGCAACGAGCTATTTTTAAATAAACCATTTTTATTGTCTCGGTCTCTTTAAATGGACGCTTGCATCATTAATAACGAAGGGGAAAGGTCAGACAGGAACCGGTTCCTCTTGTCCCGATTCATTCGACTGCCGATCCTAAAGCAAATCGGAACTGATTAAATGACTCGTGTGAATAAATCACGAAAAGGAATTTTAAGCTTCCTTGACATGTCACCTTGATCGACTTTTTAAGCCTTGGTTGCTATAATTTGCACCTTTTAATTGGAAGATCGACAACTGCAGATATACAGTGTAACGGTAAAAATCGATATTTTCTGCTCTTCCTCAACCTCATCGAGGAATATGGTAAAGCATTATAATATTTATTTGGACGACTTACCGGCTATTAATTGTTATCACTATCGAATAATCATTTTTATTTTATCAGAATAATGATAGAATCGATCACAAATTATCGGATCTACAAGTTTCTAATAACTTGTCTTCGTCCATAGAAAAGAGAAATAAACAGGTTTATTTCAAATTTTTCACCAGATCAAGAATCGGTAATAGACAATTGCATCGTTTCTTACTTCCTTTCAGTTTATGCTGGTCCAGCAGCTCCAGCTCCATACAACGCTCAATATGGTGCTCCTGCTGCACAAGTATTTCCTGGCGCAGCACCTTCGTATCCTGCTCAAGGTCAACCTGCGTTCGGCACGCCTGCTTTCCATCCCCAGAACTACCAATCGTAACGATTCGGTGCTTACTAAATTCGTAATCAAGACGTATCTGTATATAATTTAGGCAAATAAATTACTTCCCCTCCTTTTTTTTTAAACTTGTCATTCTTATTCCCTTTCCTTCGTTCCTTCGTTTGTATTTATTTCATCTTTTTGCACCTTATCGGAGAAATTTCCTTAAGTTGCTTCTAATTGACTTTGGTTTTTACTTTTTTTTTCGGAGAGAAAAGGAATTAACGAATACTAATAACAGATGTTGACAGATCCCTAAACATTTCCAAGTTTAAGGGGATTGTTTAATGGATTTGTATTATTTGCTTGTTCTTTCTATTTTTTTTTTTTTTTTTTTAATAAGATTGAAGTTGGAAGCTTTTAAATTTTTCAAAGTTTTGGGGAAGCTTTTTAAAATTATTTTTCGAGAAACCTGTGTCTTGCTTTTCTAGAAAAACGAATATAGTTAAAAATATCAGAAAATTCCAATGCTTCTACTCTGACGGTTTAGTTTCAAGTTTTATCGTAAAACGATTTACCTTTAGATAATGTTTCTATAGAAGCGACTCGCTCAGTTGCGAATATTTTTACCGCAAACGATAACGGTTTTTTTCTTTCGTTATCTAAAATTCCATTACTTACATATATACTATGTAAATATATATTATAGTAATTGTTAATTGAACAATTTAATTAACTATCCAATTCTAGAAACTATATATTATTAATTCACATTTATCGCTTAATAGAAACAGTCAGATTTTGCTGTAATACGATTAAAAAAATCGGCTCTTGCATTTCAGATATTTAATGAATTTGTATCATATAGGTTAACGCGCAGTTCTTGGCCAAGAAGCGGCCAAACCAATGCGCCGAACGAATGACCAAGGAGTATTATTTAGTCGTCAGAAACCACGAGTTAACCTACATTCGATTTCGCTATGCATTGCGGTTAACGTAATCCAAGAATCAGAAAGATCTCCTCGCTTCGATCCTGGGTTAGCGAGAACGTGTCCTCATGGCCATTTCACGTTTATTTTATTTATATTATTATTATTACTATTATCGATTATTATTGGCCAGGCAAAAGTAAGAAGAAACACAAAAGACAAACATTTCAAAATGTCGCGATTTTGATTAAAATTCGCGGAGATATGTTCAGATTTTCTGTCAGACATTATCGTAACGATTGTCTCGTAGGATTGCGATCTCTTTGCACGCACGATTTCACGCGAAAAGAAGCGATCGCCGAAAAAAGTTTCGCCATTAGAATAAAAGAACGATGTAGTTGGTTGATCGACGAGAATGTGTTTTGTGGCGTTGGCGGCTTCTCAAAGAACCGATCCAGACTTTCACATCGCTCGCTGAATTCTCAGCGACAAATCTGGCACCCTATTTTCATCCATTTTGGCGTTTTATCGCAATTCGTCAAAATTCATTCGTTCGTCGATTACGATTACTGTATAAATTGATCTATTTATTTATCTTTAAGATATACTCGAGTGAAACGTCGCTAAAAGGGAACGATAGTAGATAAATCTCTAAATTCATGACCAACTCACCAATAATCGAGAACCAGATAACTTTACGAAGAAATAACGAGAAATTTCGTCGAAATACGGTTACCAGCTGGTTACGAACTACCTTCAGACCGTAATCCTTGCGACATAGGTCACATCGGTGTACGAAACACGCGAGAAGAAACCTACCGAGGAACGTGGAGTCGTTCCTCCTGAACAAACTCAAGCATCGTGATTCGTCGCTCTCGAAAAGGTCAAGAATTGTAACTTGCTCGAATCGAGCACGTGCACGCATTGACTGGCAATTGAATCATTAATTGTAATTTGAAATAATTGTACGTAAAATAGATTTCAATAATTTTGCAATAACTTGGCGAGATGTGATTATCATTTATAGTTGGAAATGCAGAAGGAACTTTATTATTTTTGTAGTAGGAAGATAGACGAATTTGATATTATCGGTGAATTTTAATCAAGCACGATCTAATCACGCGTTACTTGTTAGAGGACCCTGTTTGCGTAAAAATTTGCGCAACTGTTTCTTGAAGTTATCGACCGAACTATATCGCGTTACGGTGTAAACAGGCAATCTGAATCGACGTTAATTAACCAAACGAGGTCAGCATTCTAATTTACCTGCTCGTGTAATGCGTAATTACAAGAACGAACCGTTGCATGGCAAACAATTTTGTGTAAACACTGATTTATCTTATCATCAGTGCAAAATTATTACCACTTGTTACTTTTTCTTTTATTCTATTTGTTATTTTATTAACATATGTGTGATATTTATATATACTGTATATAAAACATAATATACATAACATTTTTGCCTTCGTTTCAACAATTCATTTATTTTTAGAAAATACACCTAAAGATTAATATTAGTCTATGTATACAATTAATTGTAATTAAAATATAATTAATATATCTATAAATGTTATATATATAATACATTATAAGTAAAATTTAAATTAATTGTTACCTTTGTTTTTATATGTAAATTTAATATTCAGTAAATATTTTATGGGCAAATGAATATTTCAATATTTTAGCAGATACTACGGAAATTCGTTTACTGTGCGACGGTTTAAACGGACATCGATGGTCAAAGTGTAATCTTGGCCACTGTTTATAAGGGAACAGGAGCTCATTCTTGATAGAGGACTGCCTTGAAAGGATCACTGGATCACTAGGAGGATCTATGATCCCGTCCAGTCGTCCGTGAATCGGGCATGTGTCGAAAACCACAGAAAAGTTCTGCTTAAGTTGCGGCGAAGGGGTTGAGATTGCAACTCGTGAGAACTGGCCTCGAAAAGTTGAGAAGAAACATCAGGGACGTTTGAGGACGGCTTTAAAACTTGATCATCTTTTTTCATCGATAGAACATGCAATTTTTCACTTCCTTGTTTATCTATACAGCGGACTTGTTATGCGACGAACGGCAATTTCGAAGTTTGGAATATTCAAAATATTGAAATGAGGGAAGAAACGGTAAGGGAAGAAGAGAAAGAAAGTTAAATATTCCAACGTTAAATAATACCACAACTAGGAATTCCAGAATTAAATATTGCGTAATTAAACACTTCAAGATTAAATTTTTCATGATTAAATAGTTCCAAGATTAAATATGTTGGAATAAAAATATCCCGAAACCAGCAGATTTCTACACCAAATATTCCGAAATTAAAAATTCCAGAATTGTACAAGGCAAAAGAATAATACGCACCAACTTCTTCCTCGTCAGTGACACTTTACTTCTTCGATAATTCACCGCAGCTTTCGACAGCTTTAACTTCCACACAGACGCGTCTAGTGGGATCGCCGTTCACGTTTATGTCATTAGCAAGAAAACAATTAAAGTATCGTTTTTCATGTCAGGTGTTGATCATCGTAACGTGGTTTACTCACATGATCGACGCCGCGATGCTATAAAAGCTAGATCGTTCGATCGAACTAGCCACACTCGTAATCGAGACGTCCGTTTCGTGGCCGGTGGTGTCCAGCAGCATGAGCTTGCTCGTAAGTGTGATTTCGTCCAGGAAAAAGTTGTTTCGTTGTCGTCGTTGAACGTTGATTGAAAAAAAAGAAATCGGAAAAGGATCGAACTAGTCACAGAAGTCGTAAAATTTAAACTTTTACGGCTACATTTAATTTTGTACAAAATCAAAATCAGATTTCATCCGTTAGAAAATCAATATCTTAAATGAAGTTTTAGTTACAAAGTGTTCGTCGAACTTCGCTTCCGATTGAGCTTAGATAAATCATTATTGGAAATTCTATCAAGATTCAACCGAAACTAATATCAGTAATAAATCTGGAATAATCTATATTAGAGCTTGAATCGTAATCTCAATTTGAGAGGAACCGGTTTAAAATTTAATCGGAAAGATATTGTAATCTCAGTAAAAGGAGGAAATCTAGGGAACTATTTCGAGCTTATTAAATTAATCGAAAAACGTCAATCAATAATCGAAGTTATCTTTGTTTCACTTTCAAAAATTAAATTCCAAATTACTGTAAGATATCAAGTATTTTTATAAATTAAATTAAATCAATATTCCTTACCTTCTATCTATTTCCAAGCCAATCCTTCTTTAGTTTTCAATTCTAATCTTCGAGTCTAATTCCCAATACTTTTGACGCACTGTGAGGTCCAATTGCGGGGAAAAATTGTACAGAATCCGATCGACTTTTTCAGATAATTCTGGCCGCATTAGTGGCGTCAACGATCGCCAAGACTTACGAACAGAGAGAGTACTATCAATACAGAGGTCCACCGGCGCCATTAACCAGCGATGGGATGGTGATGGACACGCCGGAAGTGGCCCATGCAAGAGCTGCCCATCTAGCGTTACACGCTGAAACGATAGCTAGATTAAGAAAAGCTCAGAACGATTACGAAACGTACGAGAACAACGAAATGTACATGCCTCGGATGATGGACCCCATGGAGGTTATTACGCAGAAACGACAAAGACAGAGGACGTTCGTGCCTTTGGAGAATGACGGACGCGCCATGGAAACCTGTAAGACTTGCAGTATACCCCAGGTAAATTAAAATTATTTGTTATCAAATTTGAGAATTTAAAGAAACTAGAAATAACGAGCAGAAGAAATTTTCATCTAACATGCATCGCTGGAGAAATTTCAATTTCAGAATTTTAAACACCGAAAAATTACGAATAGAAGAATTTTTAATTTAATGCTGAATTTCGAATTATTCGTTTTGTTACGTTTATATATTACATATACCTTTAAAAAGTCCTAAAATTTCAATTTTTTCTCAAATGAAAAAGTCACAAAAACTCCTAGATTACTAATTATTAATTTCTACATACAAACCTTGCTCTGATTTTCAAGATGACAGAAGCAAAAATCCCGCATGTAGCAACGCATGCGAGAGCAGCCTCAAAGGCATCCGAATTTTATGAATTCGACGTCTTTGACGGACGAAAAAATTTGGTTTACCTTGCTCCTATCGGACTGACGTATAAACACACGCCAACGATAGGTTATCGGGGACCATTGGCGCCCCTGGGACCGGATGGCCGCGTGATAGACACACCGGAAGTAACGAGGGCACGCGAGGCTCATATGAAGGCGCATGCTCGCGCTGTGGCGCTTTCAACGCAAAACGATCTTTACTACTGACCAATAAAATAGGATCTCTCTTTGTTTATTCCGTGAGATTTGGGTAAACGGACATGTACGATACGTTAAACGACTAACTTTGGTATTTTTGTTTAAAATTAAGAACGATGAAAAGATGCAATACTCCGTTCTTTGAAGAGTTGTAATATTTTGAAACCGAATTTTGACATTTCTGTTTCAAGCTAAGGATGATGAATATATTATAAAGTTATATACATGTACTGTACTCGAGTGAAGAAAATTGCGCGTGTCGCCCAGTTTTCTTCTCAAATCGTTCGACTTTCTGTCAAACTGTACGCATTCGTTCTACGAGAATCGCACAATGTAACTTTTCGCAGCAATGAGAGCACCGTTTGTATTGTACCTGATTTTTTACATTTAACATCGTTTTGGACTTTGATTTTCGTTTGTTCGGCAGTTTGACAACGAAAACAACCTACGCACTTTTTGTAAATAATGTTACCAATGCACACACTCAACCCTACATATACGTAATATTAATTAAAACGAATCATTTTATATGAAATAACGATTTCTTTTTATCTCACATTGCCATTGCTGCAATTCGAATTTTATTGCCATATGATTGTTACTAATGATTAACAATAGGTGATTTTAACAACGTCTAGATTCTAAGCCAATAGTAATAACTTATGATAGTCGTAGAAGGTTAAGATACTTATGTGAAATGAATTTTACGTTGATTAGAAAATCTCTCTCTTACCACCAAAGTGTATTCTGTATTTTTTATTATCTTTCCTGTGAAATAAAATATGAATATGGTTCTAATATTGTCTATTCTCCGTTTTTTTCTCCTTCCCTACTTCAAATTAGAATATGTATTAACGTAGAACATAAAATAGGGAATATAATTAATTAATATCAAACTGACAACAATTTTTCTCCTCCGAAATCTATGGAATCCACGACCGAATTAAAAGATTAAAGCACATCAGATATAATTCGCAATTTACCCAATTTTTTCGCGCAATAACACGCTTAAAACTGAATTTAAACAATGGGCTCCACCCGGTTTCATAAAGTTCACGGAACTCGATATCGTAATAATATATAACTGAATTCTGGTTAATGTCAGGGAACTCTTATCGTCTAGAATTTACATTACGCAAGATGCATACAGGTCAAGCTGGGAGCGCTCTTCCTTTCCATTTCTTATTGGACGACGCCTACCTGCTCGCTTATTTACCTACATTCGAGCATGAGTAATCCGGCACAGTATGGCGTGGGATGACAGAATAAGAGCACGGTGTGCCCACGTGACATATTCAAAAAAATTACATTTCTTTTCTTATTATGAATTTTAAAAAGTAGACAGAGACAGAGAGACGTACGAGAGATGCGCATCGAACCTTTGAAACCTCGAACAATATACGAACATGTCTTTAAATTCCTTTTAAACTTTAGCGATATAATCACGCCACGGAGAGTTGCCTCGGTGAAAAATCTCAAGATGTTCCATGTAATACACGTACGCGTAATATGTTCACGAAAGAAAGATTCTTAAAACGTTTAAATACATTCGTGAGCCATTGCATTCCCTCGGTAATATCGAATACATGTGCACAATTTTTCACTGCTTGATCGATTAAAAACATTGCACCGTTCTAACAATCTCGCCAAACTATTTACTGTCACCTAAACTTAACTCGATGCCCAGTGACCCGTAATTCACCACTATGTTTGCACACAATCTATTAAAAATCCATCCTTCCGAACAATCGTCTAATCTCCTGGCCAGCTACCTGGTCGGGGGAACAGGAAATCTCGACCTTCCACGCCCCAAACGTTCACTTCCTTATGCAGCCAACTCTCGATTTCAATATCCATCGTGTTTAAACAGTCAATTACGTACGATCACTGCGATAACGATGCCGATCCAGATCTAGAAAACGAATCCACGAACGGTGTCTGCTACCGGTACACTTCGCCTTGCACTTATCCGGCAGACACCATGGAACCGGTTCTGTCCGTGACTCGGCTAACGTGTATCCTAGACGCTGGCACCAGCAAGGACGTGTTTGATCGAGCTTGACGAGGTATGCATTAGGATTTAGGGGCAGAAAAATTGCCACCGTGTTGTTCCTTAATGGGATTTATATCGATAGGGTCGTTGAGGTGCACCTGCGATCGTATAAACCGATAATAGGGTGCTAAGGTGAGAGTTGGAGGTGGATTTACGAGGTTGGCGCGAGTTTGGAGATGTTGGTTGGTTTGTGAAAATGGAAGTGAAAATTGGTTGGGTTTGCTATATGCGAATAGTCGATTTGAAGTTATCGTAACGGGAGAGCGTTCTTTTTATGCAATTTTGTGGATTTAAAGTAAAATTGAGCCAAATTTACTTGGATTTGAGAATGTCGAATCTATTTTGCTTGGTCTCGCCGATTTCTACTTTCTGTTAAGTTTAATTCCAACCTGGGGCTTTGTCACGGAGAATTGAATTATTTCGTGAAAATCTTGAGTTAGCTTTGAGTGGTTTTGGTGCAGTTTAATGATTGTAAAATTCTCGGACTCGAGCTCGTACTTGCTTGGATTTCAGATTTCAATTGCGGAGAATCTAATTTGGTTTGTGTAAGTTTGGGGATATCGAAGTGTACCTTGGTACTTTTACGAATTTAGGTTGAATTTGATTGGAACTTTTTTATTGATTCGATTAATTAACTAGAAAATAAATTACCCAAATGGAGTTTTACATTAAAGAAATAGCGAACACCAACAAAATATTTTAATTTTCTATCTAAGTCATATATCTTAGTTACTAAAAACTAGTAAATCGCTTTGCATCCTGGTTGCAGCACCCATAAGTTTGCCTTTAGTGCCCTGAATAAACTAATCGACATTGCGTCCTTTTCACGCCCGTGTACACGTGTTAGACTTCACTGTGCAATCAGATTTGCGTGTAGTCGCTCAAACTCTAACACGTTTTCACTGCCGTGTGTTCTGAGCCGAGCACGAATCAATCTGATTCGTGTCACGGGCATGTTAGTCGACCACACGTGCCTGTTCTCTGATTATATATTCGATTATGTCAGTGTCGTACAACTTTTAAACAGTTCTTAACCGTCTACCATCGTTTGACTATTTTATGAATAATTTTATGGCTACTTATTTCCCAATAACGTACCACTGCATTCTGTAAATGTCTTTTTCTTTCAAAAGAATGAAATATTACATTTCGATCCTTGTTAATAATTTCAATTCCTCTTAGATTACTCTTATTTTAATCTTTAATCGCCGTTTTAATAATTTGATTACTGTTTTATAATTTCATAACTGTTTTATTATTGAATGACCGTTTGCATAAATTGGTAACTCTCTTATAACTTAATAATTGCTTTATAATTTATAGTCACAATTAGTTCAATTGATTTGACTTTCCAAGATATTCGAGAAATCGATTAATATACCAGAAAGTGAAACACAATTAAAAAATATAAGCATTTTGAAACGCAATAAAAATTTTCTTGCAATTAAGAAGAGCGACTTTTTAATCTTGCTTGTTTCAGCAAAACATTTCGCTGCATTTTATTCGTTTCATTCATGTTACAATCGTTTCTCCGTTATGTACACGCACGATAATTTACAAATGCATATGTATCGCTGTAATTATTTAAAAAAAAAAAAGAGAGGGAAAACACGATAGCATTGAATAATATCTATGAATAGTTCACGTGCAAAGGTTAATTCTCACGCAAACGCAAACTTTCCTTGACTAACGAGTGCGAAAGCGATGAAGAGATCACCTTGAAGAGGAATGTGACAAGAGGACATTTTTATCTCGATAATATCCGTAACGGTACAGACCACCGTTATTTCATTTCCATTCGACGATAAACACACGTGTCGATTTCGCTTTCCGTGCACATTTGCATACATCGTTTCTCAAAGTTCGACAACAATTTTTCACTTGCATTTAACTGTATTAAAAGTGTACGAAACTTGTATGAAATTCTATTAAGCAAACTTATCGTCTCTGTAATATGATCTGATGAGTCGATAATTTCTAATCAGTAACGATACTAAAATTCGTTGAGATCCGGGCGAAAAACAGACGATCAAGAGGTAGATGAAACACAGAATCACAGAAAAGGGAGAGAGCTAGAAGGAAGAGAGCTTAAAGATACGGAAGACGTTATAGAAAAATTCCGAGAGAAATATTTCGTTGATTGTCGAAGTGAAAACTCATTGGAGGTAGTTGAAATTCGACGACTCAAGGGGATTTTTTCCAAATTCTCTCGAATCATCGATAACAATGGACGAATGTGAATATTTTCTGTCAGCTTGATTCTTCTTCTGCGGCGATCAACGCCAGTTTAATAGTGATTCCAATTGTTGCCAGCATTCCAGGAGGGATTCCAGGGAGCACCCGCAGGATTCCATGACGGATTAGGAGCAGCTGGACCGGCTGGAGCTTTTTGAGCCTCCGCATTGTATAAGGAGAAGTGGACTGCCTTTGCTTGCTGCACTTCCGGTGTGTCTACCACGCGGCCGTCTGGTCCGAGAGGGGCTGGTGGTCCACTGGAAAATAAATTAATTTTCTTAATAATAATAGTACGTAGGACAAGACGATGTAACGACGAACAAGAGTTGAATGAAACTTCAAACTAATTCCATATTTAAAATAATAGTCACGCTAGAATTTTATACTCGCTTAGTGCAAAGTAGAATATGTATTTGTTCGTACAATAAAGCAATACTATAATATTCTAACTAAAGTTTGATTTCTATAGAAAATTCCAATTTTCAAATGGCCAGAAACAAGAATATCTGAATTTTTTCACTGTCTTCCTACTTCCTCTTCCTAATAGTAGAGAATATATATATATATATATATATATATATATATTTATATATATATATGTATATATATAGAAAGAGAGAGAGAAATTCCTGTTCTATGAGACAATATGCAAAACCTGTAATGCGGAGCATAGCCTCCAGGTGCGTAGGAACCAGCAGGGCCGGGGTAAGGACCGGCAACACCAGGTCCCTTGGGTGCCCTCGCATTTGCATCAGCCAAAGCAGCTAAATGAGCTGCTTTCAATTGAGCAACTTCTGGAGTATCTACAACTCGTCCATCTGCTCCTAATGGGGCTGGAGCCGCGTGACCACCATAGGCTCCTCCGTACCACTGTGGCGCACAGTAGGCCACGTTCAAAATAATAGAAATCAGAATCTGAAAGAAAGCGAAATTCACTTATAGAATACATATATTTTTATTTTGACTTTCTACCCTGAGAAACATGTGCTATCTAACAAGGAACTGAACTATCCCTCTAACAAGAAACTGAAGCACGTACGCTTCAAAATAAATCTCCGAAAGAAAGGAAAAAGAAAGGAACGTCAAATTGCGTTAGAAAAGAGAGAATGAAACAAAATTCTCAAAAATATATCCGAGTCTACTTGAAAAAGCGTACAAAAAATAATCACTTTCCACGATGATTCCCACCAAAACACACACACGCATTTTTCAAAAGAAAAATTCCTGTAAAAAACGAAATGCAGGTGTAAAATTTCAATCAAACAGACAAACCAAAAAGTGAATGCTCAAACCCATCGAAAAGTAATCCAAAAAACAGTCGAGCCTTCCAAAGTCATTTGTACCAGAAATTCAACTAAAATTAAAGATAAAAAAATTACGTAATACTCACAATATATCGAAACATGTTGTCGAAGCTCAGCGCAGGTCGATCCAGCGACTATCGACAGAGCTTGTGATCCGCATTATGACTTCCACAATCTGCTATCGTCGAATTTATAGGGGTACAGGGCGTCGTCGCGTGCCCCACCCCGTGCGCGACAACGGGGTATACAACCACACCCAGAAAAATGCTCTGCTTTAAACGTTGCCTTGCCCAGCTCTGTAACATTTACCAGCCATTAACAATGACACCGTGTGTCCCGTAACCTCGTCAGGAATAAAACTTGCCTCGACGCGACGCTATGCGCGAGACGTGGACACGCACGTCATCGCGGATGCAGTCACAACGTTCTCGATACATTTTCAATAAAGTGGCCACCAAATTCATGGAATATGTCATTTAAAAATTTATTAATTTCGTTGCTTACGATTGTTGTGTAGTTGAATTAATCTTGTTATTAGATCGACATATATATTTTTCCTTATTTTTATGGAAAAAAGTTTAAAATGTTTGATGTAATAATCGAACAAATTACACGACTGCATAACGCAGCGAGGATATCGATAAGCATCGTAGAATTTTTTCAATATCTTTGGGAGCTTAGGGAACAACGAAAAAAATGGTGATGAAAACTGTATTGAGTCTGACTGGAGACTTTGACGCCCGCACAAGCACGAAAGTTACGACTACAAATGAATTGGAGACTCCAACGCCCGCATAGGAAGATACACGTCGAGAATCGTAGAGTATCATTTTCAAGCATTTACTTTGAATTTGCGAAGACATATCTAAAGAATTCCCGTCTCCAAGAAATTTGTTCTGCTGTTATTAAACTTTTCTTTCATCACGAATCGTATTCTGCACGACTCATAATTATTTCGAAAAGTACCAGGCATGTAAATATGAAACCGGAATTTTTGTATAGAAAATACACGTTTATTGTATAAAAATGATTAAAAATATTTTATTCGAAGTATCGCCCATCGCTAGCTATACATTTTTCCCACCTGTCTGGCAATTGGTGGATGCCACGCCAAAAGAACTGTCGCTCTTTTGAGGCAAACCAGTCATCGAGCCATTTTCGTACATTTTTGTAAGAAGTGAAGCGCTGGTCAGAAAGTGCGTGTCCCACCGATTGGATTTCGTCAAAAAATGAACACTGTTTTTATCGTATAACTGATTCTACTAACCAAAATTAATTTTGTACAATTATCTTAGCATTGCAATGTTCTGTAATATTTTGATTTCCTCGTGCTTTCTGTATCTGCTGTGTCCACACATAGTTTCTTAATATTTCACGGGAAATCGAAAAATCTGAAAGGTATTTCTATCCTAATTTCCAAAGAATGACAGAATGGGCAATTACAAAAACAGGTATAGTTTGCATAGGTACGTAACACGAGGCGACAACGTGTTTCAGAAGCATTTCACTCTCTATATCCTCCGAGCGATATTTCATCGTGTGCCCACAGCAAGTGGACGAAACGAATTCCATCGATCGTCGCCCATTCCGTGTTCACCCACCTCTTACGATCCCGCGTGTTGTCACGCGGCGTCACAACCGGTGCATTGGGTTCTTTACTCCAAGCTTTTTTCTCCCCTTCTTTCTTTCTTTTGAAATAACGAACCGAGTTGCGACAGTTGGTGCCGGTTCAAAGACCACCATCGCGCATTGTTCGCGTGCTGACCTGAGCGGAACTGCGCGAGCTTGTCGCCAACGCTTTGATAACGACAGACAAACGTGGTCGGGACGTGCCATGCCGAACACCAGTTTCTTACGCAGTACATAATTAAATCAAAATGAGAGAGAGAGAGAGAGAGCTTGTTATAAATTTAATTATTTCATAAAGGACAATAGACAACACTTGGTAATTGCTTATTATTGCAAGTGAAAACAAATTATTATCAGATCATTGCAAAAAATGTTTCCATATACAAATTCTGATTAAAATCTGTTTTTACATTTTTATAATCCGATTCGCCTCGGTCTACCCTAATTAATAACATTTGCTTCACATTCTAAACGAAAGCAAATTATAATGTTACGTATCCGTGCGTTCTTTTTACAAATTATTTATATTAGTCTATAAAACTGAGATTTTGAATGAAATGTGTATTTTATAGGTGGGCGAATGTTTCAATAAGATCCGCTTCTGTTCTGAATCGTAACAAAGCTTACCAAGTAATAATACGTAGTAATTCACGTATATTTTGATACGTACTTTTTATCTTATTGGCAACCTATAAGTAACATTTAGCAAATACGTTATATTTGCAAATTACTCTTATTTCTAAGTTACTTTCATTTACAATATCATCTTATTTGTAAAATATATTTATGTATTCTATACAATTTTATTCGTGCCAAATTTGTATGAAACGATTGGCGAAAGAAATGCAACGAAAGCGTAAAATTCAGCAGGATATCAAAGTATACAACGTATGATCCAGCGTCCACTGGGGCAAAAGATTTGGCAAATTTACGAATGGTCGAAGTCTTTAAGTTTAAGACGCTTTGAAGACTCGTCGGATGAAGATAAGTCGGATGAAAGATACCAGCTGGCTGTAGCTCACTGTAAACTGACTTTTATTTGTCTATTCCTGTTTTGCACTCTACAATAGTATATCTTTACGTTATCATATGCTGAATGAATTTGAGTTCTACCTAAGTACAGTAGGTATAGTTACTTCAAGAATCCATTTACAATACACGCCAGATTGTTTTCATCTTCCACATATTACTCGTAAATTCGTGGACACTTGACTGAAACGACAAGGGTGCACAGATACCATCTACGAAACAGATAATCTATTTTGGCATTGATTTATGATTTGTAAGTAAAGGAACAAATCTTTATCGAATCCGAGTAGATATCAATTTTTTTGTTTTAATATGAACGCAATAACCAGGAGCAAAATGCAAATTTCATAGAACATCAAGGTATAAAAGGGAAACAGGATTAGATAGAAAATACAATAACGATAAAATGTCCGTTAAATACTTGCAATCTTTAATGAAAATATTTCACCAACATAACAAAACATCCTCCTTGCAATGCACGATCTACATCTACCTTACAAAAGAACCCTCCCTTCCATTATATGATACACAACCTCTTTACGAGGTTAGAAAAATTGGACTATTATAAACAATTCCATCAACAGAACTCCGAAAAATGCACACCGACAACAGAGTGTAAATTAAAACCCAGAAATACCAATTAATCCACAAATCCATCAGAAAAACGACATATTACAAATATTTGACAATTTTCCCTCTTTTTCAAATTTCTCTCATCCCTTGCTGTTTCTCCAAAAAATTTCAACGATTCTGTCATCAGTGGCGCCGAGTATAGCGACTCATTTCCCATTATCACCAATGCGATTGCGGATAAGGGTCAGCGTAAGCGAGGTGAGCGATCTTCGAAATTTGTTCAGCGTGAGCTGCCAAATGCGCAGCCTTGGCGTGCGCCACTTCCGGTGTGTCGATTACTCTTCCGTCGTGAGCCAAGGGCGCGGGCGGACCGTGGTAGATGTTCTGAGTCGCGGCTACGTAGTTGCCGCTGTAGTCTTCGTATTTTCCATCGGAATAATCGCCGTAGCCGAGTGGAGCAGCTTTGGCAGCTTCGGCTGCGTGAGCTGCTAGGTGAGCTGCCTTGGCGTGAGCCACTTCCGGTGTGTCGACCACCCTTCCATCGTGAGCCAAGGGTGCTGGAGGACCGTGGTACGCTGCCCCGTAGGCTGTGTAGCCTGGAATGGCGGACGCCGAGAGGACGAGACACGAGAAAGGAAGCTGAAACGAGAGAAAATATTTGAAGATGGAAAGAAGGAAAGCGAAGAAACGTTAATATCAGAGCGATTCGATTATTTGAGAAGAAAATACGCTTTGCAATTGTAAATTTATGTTTGTTCCAAGTGTTGTTCGTCTTGGCCGATAAGATACGATTGCATCAATTTTAAGATTGCGACGAGGGACACGATAGTTTTGCGCGGAAAAATCAACTGAATCTGGTCGTCGTCTATCGAAACCAAACTTGATCTTAGTATCTTCGCGAATTTCTCGAATTCGAACCGAACGCCATAGCTAGACTGCGGATGTGAATAAAAATGCACGTCTTTTACAGCAAGATCAAAGGAGTGAAACCGAAATAGCTTCATCCTCCAAGTATTGCAACGAAGGAAATACTTTTATTTCCCCGTAGATGCCTAAACATCCGCAGTCCACCAACGACGATACGATAGTGATCTACAAACTGTCTGCCGCTACTCGAAACTCTACGAAACGTGTAATGTTATGGTCGTTACTCACGAGGAGCCTCATGTTAGCCATGATCCACGACCTGATGCTTTTCTGCTGGTCGAACGGTCCGTGGTACACCTTATATAGTCGTGGAACAATACGGGCGCCCACTTAGAACAGCTAAACAAGCGGACACGCCGGTGTACGTGAAATATCCGCGCGCGCACACGCACGCGTTCCGCTTGATTTTCACATAATAATGGGTGGGGAGAGACATTTCTGTTTGGCAACGCGGGAAAAGAGAGTCGTGCGATCGATCGACAGCGAACCGATACAGAGATCGGCAGAAGAAATCAACAGCGATAGAAGAAATGGATGGGATAAGATTTGTTGCGTCAATTTCTCACCGGAGAGATCCATAGCGATCGAAAGAGAAATTAGGGTTGGTCTGTTGAGAATTTTGCCTGACTAGGGCTGGTTAAATTTAAAATTTATGTTGGCCAGGGTTGGTCGTATGGAAACTTTGCATCGGTCAGGATCGATGAAATCAAATGGAATTTTGTATTAATTGGGGCTGGTTCTCGCGATTTATACAGGGATCGCTCGATGGAAAAATATGAAAAATCGAAGAATGACGGATCTTGAGGCGAACGTTGCTTCATCGAATGGATTTTGGCTTTCTCGGGATATTTTAAGTAGTTGGTGTTGCATTTTCATAGTTTACAAAAAGGTGACTCGACGGAGAAGTACGAAAAATTGAAAAACGACCGATTTACTTGTGTTTTAGGGTAAGCTTTACTTATTACGCGTAAATATAATTATCCACTTCCTTGCGCAATACAGAATCAATTGGTCCACTTTATCCATCTTGCATGGGACCAAATTTCTCTGTTTGCTAATTTTACGCGGCGCTTATGGTCAATAACGAATCGAGAGATCGTCGAACGTGGCGTTCGATGCAAATTCTGCGAGATTCCATCACGTATAGCTACGCCCGAGTTCTTAATAAGCCCTCGGGCAATTATACTTTGCGAAACGCAGAACAATGACACCCAGTGCTCGAACAATCATTTCTAACGAGCGTCCACAGCCTAATTGGGACAAGTTCATTACGATGGAATCATTTTCCACTGATTATTCGTGGCCTGCTACCAATGAAAATGGCGCAAGCCATGGGACTTGACTGATCAGCGTGTAATTCAATTCTGATATGGACAAGTACAAGTACAAATATTTTTTCCGTTTTTATAATACAGTATAGGTTTGTGCAATAAGTTATTGTTTTATTATTATGCTACAGTAGTTGTTATCAACAATCGCTTTCGGCTGACAATTTTTCTGTGCGAATGTTATCGCATAGTTTTTCTGTGTAAAAGATTTGTCAAATGATAAATTTCATTTAAATTTATTAAACACTCCAAAAAATTCCACACAATTTTATCTTCACTAATTATGGAATTAATGGAATAATACGCAAATTAATGTAAAAGAAAGAAAGATATAGGTAAATAAAAAAATCAGATGAAAATGATATATAATTTATGTCTCGTAAAAATAGAATTGTCGCGAACGGCAGTCGTTCGTCGAAACGATCGTAGAAATATCGTTGTTGAGTAATTGATACCGAGATTCTGTGTAAACCAGATATTTCACGCACGATTGCCGGGGGACGAAAGAATTCGAGAAACCATGACGAAGAAATTTCCAACCAGCGACGCTTGCTTGAGTAATCGATATTGATACGCAACCGTGATTAACGTAATATTAATGATCTCGCGTCAATGTCAATAACTCGATTAAAACGAGGGCAGGAAGAGAATTGAGAGCGAGATTCTAACTCTGTAATTATTTGAGCTATTTTTGGTAGATTTTTCTGAATTTTCCTCCTTTATTTGTCTGTTTTAATATCTTTCGTTCATTTTTATAATTTAGAGAAATGTTCAAATACGATTTTTCCAAATATGTACATAATTCGACGACGAAATGTCTGCGTTGCAGTCACAGGTTAAAACCCCTCGAGAGATTAAGTTAAAATCCAGCTTTAACGAGATTATTCTATCAGCAGCACGCGGCACGCATTCGCCACTTAACGTGGATTATCCTAGTGGCTGTATCTGAACCTATCAATCATCGTAATCACGGTATTATTATATTCCATCAATAGAGTACAGCGATATGACAAGCCATAGGGGCGAGGATCAATAAACCATCAAGGGAAGCGGTTGTCTCTGTCTTTCGAAGCTCTATTGTAATTGAATCATTGGTTCGTATTGATAAAATATATATTCATCGCGTTAACATTGATAAAATTCCCAGCGACGACGAATATTAGGTGGAATATCAATAACAACCGATATCAACGCACAGTAACTAATTAAAATTTCTATCGAAATTCCCAATTTTTCTATATAAATCAATTTGACGAAATACCGAATATACCAATGTAATTCCTAAATATCCTGAAACGACGTTCCAATTTGATTCTTAAAAAGTTCAATCACCTGTCCATTTTTTATTCGCCTACAAAACCTCATCAGATCCAAGATACACCATTCTTCAACATTCTCTGACAACCGAATTCCTCGATTACCATTACGTAACGTCGCAAAAACTAAATAATTTCTTATTTGCTATTCGAAATAGACGCGGATACAAAAAAGATCATGGCGCTTTTTTGAGTTTCTCGTCATGTCCGAATGCCAATCGAAACGAAGTTTAGTCCGTCTTTTATGACATGCGCTGCTGGATGCAGAGCAGCGTAAATAATCGAGTGAATGTCGATGCTCGATACGTGCAACAGGCATTCCCTGTCGACAACCGTCCCTGGCCTCGTCCAGGCAAATGTGTAGCGGGTTAGTGACACGCCTAATCGTCCCATAGTGTTCGAGAATGATCCTGTATCAGGAAGGAGGAAGTCACGTTCTCCCTCGGATTCCAACGAAGGCTTCGATAAATTCTTTCGCTGTTATCGCACATTGATTCGCGTCATTTGGCTACAGCTTGGATTTCGATGGCAGTTTGTTTTGAATTTTTCACGAGAACTTTACGCGCGTCTTAAAATTTGCGTCACTTGATCGCAGCGGAAACTCGAGTATCGATTCGTTTTGAATTTTCTTGATTTTGGAGAATGATTTTCCTTACAAGTGGAGATATTGGAACATTTTGAACGTTTGATGGAAGGATTTTGCTACAGTACCTGCCAGTGAAATTTATCGCAACCACCAAATTTAATTGTTGGCAAATCTCCGAAGCAATGTACGATTTGCACGTGGCCTCGGTCGAATGACACCAAACCTGGCGCAACATTCGCACAACGTGTATCGTTATTACGTTTACGCTTGCTTCCCGTTCTTCTCGGCTGAATCAGGCGCCACCGCCCACGCAACGAGCACAGCGTGCCAATTAATGGCACCACGACGAACGTTTAGCGAGACCCTTAACTGGTTAGCGTGGATAGCCGCTGATTAAAAACAATGCCGCGTGACGAGATCCCCTGGAATCCCGTGGAAAGGGCTTTTGTTCAACGTATCTATCCATCTATGCATTACTGCGCCGCCCACGCCACATACTACGCGATCTACGCGATTTTCTCCGCATTTTCTGAACGCTGCGTCTTCCTTTCGTGCAGAATAGCGGTGAGTGTTTAAAATACTTAAAATTATTTATTAATTGGAATATTTTCTGCATGTTCGATACTTGGAGTATTCATTTTTATTATGACATTTGATTACGTCAGAGTCAAATAGTTTTTGCGAACAATAGCGATTTTCATTTTCTTGGAATTTATCGTATCGTGCTATCTGCGTTGGAAGTGCAGACGGAAGTTTTGTATTAATCGGTACGAATTATACCAAAGTGAAGAATGGTGTCTGTTGTAAGATACGAAGTAGAAGACTTTTATTCAAAATTTCACAAAAGAGGCCTAAATTTCATCCGCCTGAAACAGCGTTAAAACGAAACATTACAACAATACCTGAGACGCATGTCGCTAAAACAAATTTAAAATTACTTAAATAGTTTTGTAACAATCGATAGTTTAGTTGCTATCGGAGAGCTATGATTGAAAAAAAAAAAAAAAGGAACTTTATATGCGTGATCGAAAGCGTACGTGCGTGACCATAGAAAAATGTCTATTATGCAAAACAGAATTGTTTGGCTATGAAATTCACGCGAATCGCGCAATCACTTTTTCAATACGACGTCGTTGCACGGATTGATTTTTTGCTGATTTCATTGTCTCGTGTCTCGTATGTTTCTTGCGTTTTTTTAGTTCTGTAGGGTGCAGTTTTTCAGACTAGATCGATCGCAGCAAATTTATGTAACTTTGAATGGGTTTATGTAAGAATATCTTATATACATCGATGCTAGTTTTCTAGAAATCTTATTTTATATCTCAAGCCTGTATTTTAAAAATTCTATCGGACGTTTTAGTTTTGTTCGACGTTGGGTTTTATATTCGATCGTTCGATATTCGATATTGGACGTTGAATTTGGAAACATTACGTCATTGTAAAAGTTACCATTTTCAATATCAAGCATCGAGAATACTCGAGCATCGCAAATATTAAATTCGTTAAATCATTAACCGCAATTAGTAAGAAAAGTTATATTGGCTAGTACTAAATTTGAGCAATAAAATCTTTCAAAATTCAATTTCTTCTTTTACACGCTCCTTAATGCTACACAAAACGCCAAGCAAATTTTCAATAATTTCATTACGCTAGAATCAGTGAGAGAAACAGAGATACGACTTCGAAAGCAAACCAATATTTTACACATGTCTTTTTTACGATCTTTCCACTTTTCTCTTTTTTTCTTTTATTTTATTGGTAAGAAAGGTTTCATTCCAATCACGTACGATTGTTTATTCCGAGGACGCGGGACGACCTTCGTCTTGATCAACGTATCAGTTACCTTTCCTACTCCTTCTGCTTTTATCCCTTCTTCCCATTTAATTGCATTTCGTCCCTGTTCTTTCCCTGAATCCGTGGCTTACATACGTATCAAGGTTGTACTCTTGTTTCTCGGAATAATAATTGAGATATTGATTCGATTACGACATCGCACGCGATCTTCCATTATTTACATTTTCCCGCCCATTTTCGATCGAAAATTTGTATCTCTCGATTATCGACTATTATCTGTATTATTATAGTTATCGTGGGAAAGAATGCGAATATGAGAGCAGTTGAAGGAACGATCATTGATTTGTTTCAGCATAATGTACGAATTACATCTTACGAAGTGTTACGCGAAGGTTGTGAAAATTTACGACGCTGACTGAAATATAATAGAACATTAAATTTCGGAAATTGGGAAAGCTGGGAAAATTGAGAAAATTTGAAAAATCGCACGAAACTTGGATTTGTCGATAAAATTAGTATTCCGTGAATATACATATAATGGATCGATACTGTAAAATCGACATCCTAAAATAACGATTCTCCAATTTTTTGTACGAGAGATTGTACAATTAGACTATAGAATATAATAGTTCTAGAAAGTTCTTTAAAGTGGTGACTCAAAAATTTGTTTACGAAGGCAAACTTTTTTAATTCTACATATGCAAATACTTTCTCTTAAAGAAGTATCGAATCGATCAATTTAATGTTCGAAGTATCGAAACATTTGTCAAATATGAAATATTCTCAAATTAAAGAATGAAATATTCATTTTCTTAAAGTGAAATGTAACTTAATTATTTGTATCCTTCAGTCATTTTTACTTAAAGCGTATTACCTTGGTAAATGCTTAAACTACTGTCACCTACCCATGAATTCTCAATTAGCCCTTCAACGACTCACTTTACAACTTTCTTAATAGCTATATTTAGTGACTTATAAATAACAAAAGAATCATATCTTACCCTCGACTCGTATTGAAAACACCGTACTAAATAGTTTATAAATCAATTTATGCTTTATAACCCATGGAATTGATAAAATCGATCATTTAAAACGTACAGCAGCGAACAAGCTGTAAAAGTAAAGATAAAGTATAAGGTATAAATTCTCCAATTATCTCTTTTCACTCGCAAAATACGCAAAAGATAATTTTACTTAAGTAGAATACTTAATAACACGCGAAAATTTTATCGAAATTTTCCACATAAATGAGAGTACTCTAAATATTCTATTAAGTATTCTAGTGGCTACAATACTTACGCGTAATACTTGAAATACTTTACTTATATCGATTAATAATACAAGTACAAGAAATAGAGTAACTATTACTCACCCCCTATAAAATCAAAAGCACTACTTTATGTATTTCGCGATCGAATGAAAAATTACCTTTTTTTTAAAACGTTCAAAGATACAGGAAAATCTATTCAGAGTAAAAATATTTAATTGTACTTGACAAGTAACGTAACAAATACCAAACCTCCTACGAATCGTCACAAATTTAACCACATCACACACCCAGTGAAAAATCAAATTTGGAGATGTACAAATATATATAGAATTTCCTGTTTAAGTTCTATTTTTCTAATTATATTGGGAAACTACAGTATGAATTTGCACGAGGATTCGCCGTCTAATAATATAAACTATCGCTATTCGCCCAAGATATCAGTTTCTTGGGACAACGAACGTACCATTTATAAGAAAAGAGAATGGTTGGCAATTTTTGTCGGACTCCAAGGAGTAAGTTCACCAGTTGCACCTGACCTCGAGAGATCCTTTTGAAAGACGAGCAGACAAGAGACGGACAGACCAGAGAGTAATGTCAATGTCACCACTTTAGGTGTACCAATTGCTTCCCAGGGTGTGGTCCCCTCCTACGGGTCGACGACTCCCTACCAGATTCACCTATATAAAAGGAGACACCGTGGCTCGACAGGGCAGCACATCACCGTTGATACTTTAGGGCGAGTACTGGTTGGAAAATTCACATTCTATCTGCCAGCAGCGCTTTTCCACGTGACTAACCATGAGAACGATAGTGAGTATGGATATCCAGGGATTTTCCTTTTTGTCGTGGCAGTATGATTGGTGAGGATATTTTCGAAGGATATTGCACAAGTGGTAGTTCAGATTAGGGCGCTGTGAGCAGAAAATAGTTCGTTAAATAATTCTTGAATTTACGTCAATTTAAAATTGATTAATTAGGGCAAGATTGATCGGTCAAGTATCGTGTACGTGTTTGATTTTGACTATCGTAGAAATGAATAGCTCTTTGTAGGTTTAGAAATCTTTCTTTGTAAAATTTGATAGCTTGTATAGATCTAGAAATCGATCGTTATTAACTTTGGAACGTTGATCGTTAAAATATTATTAAAATATAATGATTATTTATCTGTTATTAGATAATTAGAAATGAGACCGTTTTCTAACTATTATTAACGATAGTTTAGGTACACGCAATTTTTCTGAATTAAATTAAACGAATAGAGAAATTACATTGCTATTGCTGCAAAATTACAATTATTACTAGAAAAATCGGTACACTGAATATTAATTATTATAAAAAGTTGTTACGTATTAGATAATTAGTTTTTTGACCATGCAAATCGAAAAAAAAGGAATCTGCAATCGTTACTTATTAATAACTAACCGAGTTTTTCCGTGTCACTAGGTTTCTTCGTCATTGACATACTAACATCCCACGTTCTAACAGGAGCCTCTTTATATGAACAGTTGCAATTCGTATGCCTGCTCAGTCGTCAAACCAACCATAAAAAAGTTCTTTCCACGCTTCATCACACTTTTCCATTAACTTGTTTCTTTAACGCCTCTTACCTAATTATCTTCACTATGCCTCAAACTATTAAACGCTAAATCGCATCCCACCGAATTAATTCAACTACAAGGAACCTTCTTTACTGCTCGTTATTCTATTTCTAATTATGCTTGGAGCGTTTGAAAAATACACGTTGCCTCACACGCAAAGACACGCTTCACTGAATTCATTTTCCACCATAACTCCATTTCCATCAACCTTGCTCTTTCAAACTCTGACCTAATTAATATTAAACTACAGTTACAATTATAAAAATTGCAGTTAACAAACTAAAATTTGTATCTTCCTCGGTTAACAGAATAAAATGTCAAAGTACTTTTTCAAATTGCAGATCATCTTCGCTACAATCTGCACCCTGGCCATCGCAGAGCCCGGATACGTGGCTCCAGTGATACCTTACAGCTACCTCAGAGTGCCATTAGCCTACGACGGCCACGTTTTGGACACGCCGGAAGTGGCACAGGCGAAAGCAGCGCACCTCGCGACTCAGGCGTACGAGGCGGCCAGGAACACACTCAGCTATGCTCACGTGCCGGCTCTGTTACGTGTTTATGCACCTGCACCTGGTGCGCCCATAGGCGCCGATGGTCGTGTCGTCGATACACCTGAGGTCGCGCAGGCGAAAGCTGCTCACTTGACTGCTCACGCGTTGGTAATTACGAGCAATTAGTTTTTTTAAATCTGAAAAATCAACGACTCAGTGTTTTTGGTATTAATGGAGAAGGAAGTCCTTGGAAAAGTTCAAGGATCTGTACTTAAAAGTTTTCTTTCCTCTTCTTTAGAAATATTTTAAATTTGCAAAGGAATTTTTAAACACTCGTGAGAATAAGAGCAGAATCTTACATTGTTTTTTTTTTTTTTACAAATATATTCCCTTCATTTACTAATAAAGTAAATGTTTCGTTTCAAGCCGAAAAATGTATAGTATTATTAATATTTGACTTTCCATCATTTTTTTATGTTGAAGGAGGCTGCGAAGAATCTAGGACTCTATCCATACGGTGCCCTGGCTTATGCCTCAACACCTTATGCTTATGGATTTGGATATGGTGCTCCCCTTGGTCCTGATGGTAGAGTAGTGGACACTCCGGAAGTTGTTCGAGCGAAGGTAGCTCATTTTGCAGCACACGCTGATGCGGCCGCAAAAACTGTTGAAAATCTCTGATTGCCACTGAGAGGAATATTTGGAAAGGATAACGACGCAACTCTAAAATAATTTTTTTCAATTTATTCAATATTTGGACTATTTGAATATGAAATGGACGAATAATTCTGTAAAATGATCGGCTGTCTTTGTTCTGGATTTTTTTTACTAAATACCGTAAAAATTGCAACTGAATGTTATATGTGTGAAATAAGGCAGCGAAAGTATCGTGCTATCTTTGTATGACCTAATACGATGGATTCGCATAATAAATAATCTGTTTACGAATTATTATTTATTTTTGTGCATTGTCTTCTCCCTTAAAATACTTTGGACCTGTTTTAAGTACACGAAACGTGATATAAAATAATTTACATTCGATCAATTGAAATCCTAAAATGTAATTGTTCTTAATTGAATTTATTATCAGATAGCTTTCCCTAGCTCAAGAGCTTTGCGTGCCATCGTTATCGCTCCTTCTCTGGTTAGATGGCTACCGATGAATCGTTCTGAATGAACAAAAATAACATCTTTGATTCCAGAGACGTTTGCAAGCTCCTCATTGCACAAACCTCCCCAAGGTTTTGGCAAAAACAGCCTACAAAACAATAGAATGTACATTAAAAGCTTCAAAAATAATCCAGTTGTCGTTCGAATAAATACCTGCACACAAAACTGTTAGGTCTTATAGGTACGCCTTGAACCCTATAGTTACCATTATTTCGAAAAATTACAAATTTTAACGGTGGCTGTACATTTTGTTCTCTTTCTATCGCATAAAGATGCTGAGACCATGGTACAAATTGTAATAATACTATAATTTCGCCACTAGGGTCAACCTGCAGATATTTATCATAGCTTTTCTTTGAACATGTCTTTAAATTGTATAACAGAAAGGCTTGGTAGGATATATTTTTATGTTAACATATAAGAGAGAAAGGAATCTTCTCTTGCATAATATCGCAGTAAGGAAATGCCTATGATACATTTTTATACAACTAACAATGGCCATGTATTCTAATGCTTGAACTCTATTCAAACAGAATGTTATTCTATTCAAATCTATGCAAATGTCACCTCGAAGATGCACAATGATTTGTTACAATATCTCTAATAGTGCAATTATTAATTACAAAGTGGTAAACACTGATAAACTGTAAAGTCCTTGTTTTATTTACCTCAAAGCGTTTGTCAATAGCTTCCTGCACAATGGACCTAGCAGGCAACCAAACATTTGCAGCATAATTAATACGTTGCACTAATTCCTGACCGGTTAATTCAACTGCCTTCAAAAATTGACTATCAACGTTAATATCCTTGCTATTCCATGCAGGATTTAAGAATTTCACACGGGATGATAAGTCTGTACTGATACGATATCTAAAATGGACAACACACTGTAAGTAATTTAATATAATGATATCTTAACTGCGCAACAATAGTATTGGACACTTACACAGGTTCCTCGTTGAACATGGGAACTCCATTATCTATACCATCAACTTCCTTAACGAATGTATTATAAATATATTTAAAAATCAATTCTACGTCGCTATCATTTGCTTGTGGAATCAAATGCTTGATAATCTCATGGCCAAAATGGCAATAAATCAAACCAGCGCTACTCAGTTTTATCGTCGAATCGTAACCTGGCTTCTTTATTACTGTGCTCATTGACTCGTTGAAATCTCTGATTCATAAATTAAAGGAATGAACTCTATGTTATTAGCTTTATACCAAAATGATTAAAAAACAGGTCATACCTCATATGATGATCGTAACGATGCTTGGAAGGATTATACTCTCCACCAACATCGATCACAATATCACATGTATTTAAAATATTCATATTGCGTGATCTACAAGTACATTCAATACTCTATGTTAATTCTCTCCTTTATGCATACTTCCTGCATACTTCTCATTCGTAATAACATTTTCATTTCAAATTGCCCCATATAACTCCATAAGAAAATCTGATTACACTAAACAGCTCTATATCTTACCTCACTATAACTGCATCTTTATACCTGGGCAGCGTCTTCAACATGAAGCAAGCAAGAGTTTCGTCACAATGAAAAGTGCCATCGTGTGTTCCGATTTTCACGTTTTTAGCCATTGTCACGAATTTCTGTGATGTCGTTCGCGTATAGGTTATATTACCTGGAGGAACAGATAGCTTCGTAAAGAGTCGCGGAATTATTCCAGAGATATACTTAATCATATCCAAGCACTAACCACGTCAGTAATTAAATTATATTCTCACCGACGTAAACAATGCTCGTGGTACACAAAAGAATCCTATTTCTTTAATTTCGCACGTGTACAACAGATTAAATATTGATAATCAATTAAAAGTACAATACTGTGTATCAGCCAATCAGAGGCTACGTGCGTTACGCTTGACCAATCAGAAGCTACACACGCTACGCTTGCGTACGCACGTGTTTACAATAGTAAGACATTTAAAATTACATACTCCACTCAATGATATGCGAATGATACGTGTGCTTTATTGTTATTAGTATTCGGATACATATTATTTATATATTTATTTGAGAAAAAATGTGTATTATTACGTGGAAAAAATATTTTTTGTAGAATTAGATATTTTACTAAATAAATATTGATATTTATAGTATTATAATATTGATAATATAAATATTATTCAAATAAATATATTCATTACATACTTATTAGAACAAAGGTGTAATCTGGTATTTTAATGGATTCAAAGAAATTGCGAAAGGTATTTATTGATATTTCACTAGCAGATTGGAAAATAAATATATCTCCCGTGGTGACATGGTATATGAAAACAGATAATTTCTCACGTGTTTTATTATTTTAAGCTACAGTAATATTACGATATCGTGGTTTGAGAGATGACTATATTTACAATCGTTATTTAATTATACGAAATTACACATTTCATCAAATTCAATTATTTCGGGCTACCTCCTCCATCATTGAATAATCGACATATTTAGGAACGAAGATTAGATTAATCGTGCTGCGATCAATACTAAATAAAGATGGAAAAAAATCTTGTTGCCACTCTCGATATGAGAACATCAAAGGGAAGAGAAAAGAAAACAATTAACTAAACGTTCTAAATCGATACAAATAAATAAAGAATAAAAAACTTATCGTGCAGATGGACGAACAAGAGATTGCACGTAGTACACAATTATTATTAACACAGTATAGGGCTTCTTACATCGATAACGTGTTACTCTACAGAGGGACACAGGATATTTACAGAAACCATCGAATGTACACGCTTTGAAACCATATTTTAAACGTTCTACACACTTATCGGTCGCGATTACCTATCTAAAAAATCGCTAAAACTGTAACGGGATAAATTCACATGTAAAAATATATATATTTATGATATACATATGTGTATGCGGAGTCTATTTATACATTTATTTGTAGACTGTGGATATTTACGCAAATTCGTCATTTTTATGAACTAAAAGAATAGCTCGTGAATGTATTCGATCAGTTATAAAAATCTTTTACGAATGTATTGTATGTGTGATACAAAATATTTCGAAATTTCGTTATATTGGATTATATTGGAGAAGTTTGAAACGGAGCTGGAAATGTACATAGAATGTACATGATATTTAATATTTAAATGAAAGAATTTAAACGGTTGATTATTCGTATATTTCTGTATCTTTAAATTTCAAATAAATGCATAAAAATCCTCAGTCTATTTACTAGTATTAGGAATTTCGGTTCGAGGGACCGTATTTCTGCTAAGGAGAACGAAAATCGATGGATCTACAGATTTAAATAAATTCGCAAAAACACGTCGATCTTTTTAAGAAATTATTTTATCGACACGACGATTCGAGTATTTCTCAAAATTCTTTTCTTTATTTGTTACTGTACATCCTTGTTAATCTACTCATGCAGTTGCATCTAGCCAGCCGATACGAACATTCGTTCGTAATTTGTTGAGCAATGCGCGTTAGATTTATTGCTGTATCGCTAGAGGGAATACTCCATCGATGACTGTATCGTGAAAACCATCGATGCAACGTAGGAACAGACGTGATTCGCTCTTTTGACTAAAGGAAGTCGACAGGGGCTGTTGTCTGACTATCAAGTTCTATAAATTGTTACGAGCGAGATTCTGATATTTTCCTCTGAACGAAGATATTTAGGAAACTTGCTCGTGTTTTCGTGTTGGTTAATGACAGTGCAAACTATGGTTATTTATACAATTTAGTATTTGGACACAGCAATGTTCTTAATTTCTAGTTTACATATGGTTTTTTTGGAAGCTTTGCTATCTGCCCAAGTATGTATCAACCAAATAGTTCTATTTTATCAATGGCTGTTTTACTTTATCGATCATCAATGACTGTTCTGCTTTATCGACGAAGCTATAACTAATATTGAATCAATTGGTTGCTGAAGACTACTTCAGAGTACATTTCCTCACTCTCTATTCTTTACTATTCTTTACTCTCTGTACATCATTTATTTCGATGAAAGGAAACGCAATCATGTTACCATTCACCGCATAAAAACAACGAATTCTAGAAAGTAGGAGTGCCGTTATTCACGACACGACTTTTTTCGAACACTTTCTAGCACTGTCATTCCAACAATAAATTCCCTTAAAATCTATCTTCTCCGTGAGCTGCTTGTTCGAACTACCTCGAGCATATTAATTTTAATAAGTGTGAATCCATCATCGTCATGTACAGGGATTATGGCAAATGCTGAGGGGAAGAGGCGCCGCCCTCTTCTCCGGAATCTTACCTATTAACAATATACATAAATATACACTAAGGGAAGGGATTCACCAATTACCAAAATCAACGTTGCCAGCAGCCACAAAGAGAGGACAAACAAATCAAAATCCTGATTCTCCTTTTAACCACTCCCTTTTCAAACAATCCTTATTCCTAGCGTTGTGACGACAGCTCTGGCTCTCCTCATCAAACACAGTGCCTTCTTCACACACGAATCGAAAATCAAGCACCTGCCTTGAAGTGAACCCAGGAGAGCAATAGTGAAACAGTCTGCA